CTGAAGCTGTGGCTCCCGCACAACCTCTCTCCAGACCATCTGCGTCGTTTTGTCCGCGGTTTCCACCCAGTCACAAAGGCATCGCCCAGTGAATTCCCAATGAATCAATAAGGGCCAAAGAGGTCTCAGGAAAGAACATTCCTGCAGGACTTCCGAGCGCCAGACCCTCACCCCCCCAAGCAGACAGTTCATTTGCACACAGATGGAATAACAACGAGACGACCAGCTCTTGAAGTAGTTTTATAAAAGTATTTGACTTACTGAGATACTGTTACAGTTACCTGAGTATTTGAAATTACAATGCAAGGAAATTTCAACAACGAATTTCAGTACAGTATTTTACAATCCAGTGCTGCTGATCCCAGTTTATATACGAGTTCACTAGAGCACATATACACAAACAGTGGTTCTTGAAGAAAATTAAAAAGACACCACAAAAAGGGGGCTGGAGATACCAATATAACAGAGAGAGTTGAGGTTACAAATCCAGTGCAGCAAGTAATAAAAATGCAAACAAAAAAATTAAACAAGCATTTTGTTTGTTTTACTTAGAATAATAAAAAAGCTTTTTTTTTAACCACAAGCAACGGGATTAAATACAAACCACCTTCCATACTAGCTCAGATGAAGACATGATGCATTCACTGTGCATTCCATTAGTATATGAACATTTCCTGAGCTACCCATAACAATAAGGCTTTGTTAATTCTTAGATCAGCGTCTCAGCTTCTAATTTCCTCATGTCATTCTAGTAAGGCAAAATTCTGGCAATACTTGAAACTTGGGATCAATTGATGGTTACACATGAATATGCATTTGTGACATACGATGAATTCTGCAGCTCAGGCTGCTGAATCAGCTGAAGCAGTGGGAGACAAATTCACTGATCTCTGCTGAAAATCCTCCTGTACGTCCCATCCATAACCATCCATCACCTGGGACACCAGACGCCGTGGCCTCACCCACGGGTCGTCTTCACCAGATCCCCGTAAAGAACAGAAAAGTGCACCAGTGGCTGATATTAACTCCTTTTTATTTCTACACAGCATGATGTCAAGAATTAACAGAGTTTTTAGCATTCACAATGCTGACGAAGTAAAATGCCTCAGTAATCTTAACCTCTGCCTTCAGAAACACTGCCAATTTAACACAGTAAAGTTGCTTAAATTTCTTATATTTTGGCCAAATCCAATGTTTCACGAATTTCCCCCCCCCCAATGAATTCTTTACTTGCAATATTTTAAAATCTTATCTGGTGCTTGGGATATCCAGCCCCCTTTCCCCATCCTAATACAGCAGAAAAGACATATAAACATGCCATTTAAATTAAAGGAAGAAAAATGGAGTAAGTGGAATCCCGGACTGCAAAAATATATACAAGCATTTACCTTTTTCCTGAACTAAACATGTCAACCATAAAAATATTAAACAGCCACACCCTATAGAACTAGGGCTAAGGCTATTTCAATTATAGCTATTCTTTATTTTAAAAATATAGGGCTGAAAGCCTTTTGGGTGATATTTATACATTAACAATACTTCTAGGTTCCCTACATGAATCATAAAGCATTATGCAGAACACGGACTATTTTTCATAGCTTAATCTTGCATTATCTTGCTTAATTTAATCTCTCTTGTAAATACGTTAGATAACTACATTTCATCGTAAGAATTAATATAAACAGAAAATATTTATAAGGCTTTTTTTCTCCTCACGAGCTGTATACTGTAATATATCCATCAAATGTTTTGAAGTTGGCAGATTTTCCTCCTAGTAAAACCATGAAGTCAGGTTAGTTTCCACCACCAATGAAGCTGTAAAAGAGGGTCACTTCTGTATCCTCAGAAACTCTCTCCGTGCCTGCCGCAGAACGTGCATGGCAGAGGAGCTGTTCGCTCCCAAGTCTCGCCCTTCTGCCTGCCCACAGGCACGTATCGCTTTCTGCAACCTGAAAAACTCGCAAAGTCAGTTAAAAACGGTGGTGTCTCCGTTCTTCTTAGACCTGGATCAGTTTTTCCCCCTCACAGTTTAGACACAAGGGACAGCAGGAAAGAAATACTCTTTTCGAGGCGGGAAGTTCAGTTTTACAGTTTCCTCCTGTCCTGTTTCAGCGCCGATATCTAAAAACCTCCCCAAACCAGCTCCTCTCCCAACGCTGGGAGCTGTGGCTCTGCTCTACACGCACTATGTGCTGCCCAAGTGTCACACGTCGCTAGGGCTAGCAGCTCGCCTCGCTGGCGTTCGCCTTCCTCCCTTCAGAGAGAGACCATACCCAAAAAGTGCATTCAGTCTAAAGGAGCAATAAAATGCAAAATGTTATTGTAAACCAGAAAAGAATTGAATATTAACAGATTCTAAAAGGAAATAAAAGATGTTATTCATCCAACAGGAACTCGCTACCAAAGTTACTAGCTATAAGCAGCTTAGGGTGAATTAGCTTAGAAACCTCCCCCCACAGCTTTAGCTTCAGTCTTTACAGAACTATTCACTGATGCTCCAGCTTTTCAGAAATCTGTAATCTGTATCTGAACTTTCTAATCCTCTTAGCCTTGGCCAGTATTGCATAACAGTTCACCAGCAAAAACAGTAAGTGTTATTGTTTTCTGAATTCAGTTGGTTTGCACCTCTTCCTGAGAGCCCAATAAAGCCTTCAGAGCGACCTGACTGCAACACGCGAGAGCAACGCCGAGAACAATGTCTGTTAACCCTTCCGACAGGAAACACCAGTCTGCAAACAGGATCTAAGTGGAATCAGTGCAATCCCAGGTGGTCTTGTCTTTTGCAAAACAAGTGAAGTACCACAGTGTTAAAATTTATTTAAAAATTAATTGTGTTACACAGAAAAAAGATTCTTCTGAGGCCACACAGAAAACGTTCCAACAACTTTGGGCGGGTGTCTATTTTGCTGAAATTAGCAGGATTGGGAAAAACCACAGCAAAGCTATGCCCTGGATTTGTGCCACAGTTTGACATCCCCTAAACAGCAGCTTGAGTCCAGCTGGCATGTGAGCAGACTCCAGGTGGAGAAAGAACAGTCTGGCCACACTTGGGTTAGAAAACAGAGCTTAAGCCGTGGAGGTGCTCACAGCGGGCAGAGGATGGATACGAGCTGCTCTAACACCACTGCTGTGAAGAGGCTTCGGATGATGCTGCAGCACTGCAGCTACCAATGAACTTCCCAGTGCATCAGTAGCAAAAAATGCTACTAAAAAGGAAAGACAAAACTATTGTTAAAAATCTGTCAGTCATTAAGGACACATTCTAATTAACGAATGGTAAAAGAAAGCAGAGCCCAAAGCTGTATTAAACCTCTACTTAGGTCATAATTCTTTTGTAGCCACATCTGATTGCTCATTTGATTTCTGAAAGTGCTCAGTTTCCAGAATCCACATCAGTATTGTTAAATAAATCCAAGTCAAGTCTACTTTACAATGAAGTGTGCAACAAGCAGAAGTAGTGAAGAACATACGTCATGTTGAGTTCACATTCTTCAAGGTGCAAATTTTAGCTATTCTTGCCCAAATCCTTCTGTTTCTTCAATTGCGAACAACAACTTTTCCTTCAACTGCTCATAACTCTTATAGGGTGGAAGGTCTAAGCGATTGAAACTGAAAATAAAGAAAAAACTTAAGTACTGAAAAATAATTAAACCATCACAAAAAAAATCCATTATGAATATGGGCAATTAAACTTTTTGCTGTGCAGATGGATACCTGGATTTATATCCTGTGAAAAGCTACTGACACAGATTTACATATTTATGAGAGCAAAAGTCAGAGTTCAAGCACTTGAACAGTGACAGTTTTCTAGAAATGCAATGTACTTGGTAAGAAGTTTCACTAACGTTTCCTAGCTGGTTAACTAGACTCATCGTTCACATTTAACACTTTAATTTGTGTGTTTTCACTAACCACTGACACACCCGAGGAACTGAGTAGAAGCTGTCTTTGCTCTAGGGAAGAGGGAGTGTGAATGTGGCTCCTTCGCTATCAAGATGGCGTGTAGTAATACCAAAAGGCCAATCCCAACTTCTTTAGACAGTACTGTTTATTACTTTAAATTTTCAGTAATACACAAATCCACGGAATTTACAATGGAATCTACTCTATGCCACAAGAGTTTTTCAGAAGTTCAGCTATTATTCAACCAAGTACATGGGTGTAACTCAGTGTTTGCTTTCAGGCAGCCCCAACCATTTGAGAATATTACCCATTTACTAAAATCTCCAAGTAGATAGTTGTCAGCAAAAGCAGAGCAGTAGCAATATTCTGATTTGTTACACACTCACCAGGTATGACTTCTGGGTAACCAGTTTTCCTTTCCAACTTTTTCAATACAAAATTTTTGGGGTCCATTGCTCCCTGTAACAAATTCAAATACACAAGGCATAGGTCTAGCTACTTCGCCCCAGCAGGTAATAGGTCACAACTGAAGTATGAAAGGCTTAAGCGCAGCACCAGACAGGCACAGAAAAAGGGCATTTTTCAGTATACAGCTCTGTCTGGATCAAAGTATGCATGTGGTGAAACACATAAATTTGAAGTGATTTTGAAACTCAATACAACAGGTGTAAACACTCCCTCCATCTCTTTTTCCATCACAGCTCAAGTACATGCAGGACTTACAAACAGCATTCAATATAAAATTCATTTAACATGTCATTAAACACGTAACTTGGCTCTTTTAAAAAGAATTACAGGGATTATCAATGCATACCCATGAGGTCAGCAAATCCTCCCACTGGTAATCTGCATGTCCCAGTAACAAACTGCAAGAGTCTCATTCTCTTCTCATTATCTATTTCTTTCACAAACTGAAAAACAGTAATTGGACATTTAGGTATAGATTTGATACTCAGATCTTCACATCATCATCCTCCACAGATTTACAAATTACAGGACTGCTCGCAACAGCTGGATTAGCAGTAACAATTGGTATTTACACACTGTATAGATCTGTCCAATAATTCTGATTATTGTTTACTGCTCTGCAACTTGTGTTGGTCTGAGAATAAGAAGTAGTCTACAAACCTGCCAAAACCACACTATCTGTCTGCTGGTCCTGGTATAGTGCCGGTAGATGGTATGCCTCTGCCAGTCATTCAAATCAATTTCTTGCATTCCACACAGAAGCACCTTTTTAGGGGAGAAAAAGGGAAATAAAACATGCCAGTACCAGTGATGACCGTCCTTCCATGACTTCCCACATAGCAAACCAGAACACCAACCGCACCCATACTTAGAAGCATCTGTGACGACAGTACACTTGTTTTTAATTTCAAACTTTATCCACAACTTCTACAACAAAGACTGATGACTACTCATGAAGCGCATTTGGAGAGGTCACAAAACAGAAAGTATCCCTGGCATGAGAACTGGAGTAAGTCTTGCATTAGACAGTCACACCAGGAACAGTTTGCCATTGCCCAGCCGTACCACTCTCTGCTAGGAACTGGATGTTTTATTTTTATGTTTTTATCTTTTTAAATTGAAGAGAAGCTTCAGGAAGTGTAATTTGGAGAGATCAAAACGCTCTAGAACCTGGTCCAGTCTACGTGCGACCATCCATAGCATATCTGCTTTTATCTCCCCTTCTGTCAAGTTACTCATTCTTTGAACACAGGCAAATCAAATGGCTGAGGATTACAGAAGCAATTTGCTAAGAAATTTCTACTGGAAGAATCCCAGCCTTTAGAAAAGCATAAGTAGGCTGTAAAGAGGAAAGGTGAAGGGAAACACACTAATCAAATACTGCTCCATGAAGTTTCCCTCATATGCCCTATAAAAGAGAGTTGTCAGCCTTAGCGAGTTCTGCTTTTCACACATAATGACTGGCGTTTAAGTACTGTCCATGTAACAACCTGGATCTAGCAAGAGCCCAACAATCCTTTACCTCCAGTTCCTTTGCGTCAAAATACTGCAAATACTGTTGTGGCAGAATTTCATTGAAGCCTTCAAAGAAAGCCTGCGTCTGCTCCTCAACACCTCGGGAAAGTCTCCATTCTGCTACTAGCCTGTAAAAGAAGATACAGAAAGGTAACTTAAATGGGCTGTGCTAACCCAAGTCCACATATTTGTTAGCCTATTTTGAGACGAACTGCAAGCCAAGTTAAAAAAAAGGAAAAAGGAAAGTCTGGAAAGTTCTGGGAATAGAGTACTGTATAATTTGATTAGTAATCTTTACTGTGTGCAAATGATTTAGGTTTTCGTTTAAGTTAAAACCCTACGTTTCCAACCATTCTGCTACAGAAAGTATTTTAGACTCAAAGAGGAGGCAACATCTATTCACTGATTATATAAATGACAGCACAGCAGTCCCTAGGTATTTGAAGAAAGAAAAAAAATGCTGTATTTGAGAGCTATATCTGTCTAGTATTCTCCCCAGAAATCTCAGTCATTATCCATGAAAAGGTAAAAACTAGGTCAAGTTGTACTGGTGAAGACAAGTAGGACTGCTAGCTTACCAAGAAACGACTATGTCCATTTGGAAAGTTCCATATTTGTTTCTGTTAAGCATGAAACTTTGCTCTGTGGCAGAAACTCCACTCTCCATTAATAAAAGGGTGAAAAGCAGGCAGGAGACCCGAAGAACCTGAACCCAGGGAGAAGCAGATATTATGCTGAATTCAAGCCCAGCCTGTCAGGAGAACTGGAGTCTAAAGGAGAGATGGCTAATTTCTGACTTCAATCCTAGAAACTTCGGGGACTTAAAGCAGGACTCAAGAGTTAGACAAAAGAATATGAGTGAAATCATAGCTCTCCCTGGGTTCCTAGAAACTAGAAGGGAATGGTTTTCTGCAGATCCTCCCTATTTTCAACCCCAATATTAATACTTTGCAAAACTGCAAAACGCAAGTTTCTTCTGCAAATACTACCTTGCCTGTGAGTCACTGAAATGTCTTTAGGTTACTCATGCAATGAAAACAAAATCCACTCCCTTCTCCCTCACACCTTCCCGTGAAAGATGCCTTCGCAGAACACATCATAAGACAGAGGAAAATTCTATCGTGATTCAGTTTACTTTGTGCCTGCAATGTACGATTGTATTCTTCTTTTTCAAGCACATCCTCCAAGCTTATACTTGACTCCAAGTCAAAGTAGAGTTTACGTACTGCTGCACGTTAAGGAAGAAGGGGATATTTCAGAACCAAGCAGGTCACCGTTCACAGTTTTAATATTTAATCACTCTTAGGTTCCTCCCCTCTTAACCTGTTGTTTCAAAATGTTCTGGTACTGCAAATATAATCCTTCGTTTCTGACAATACAACTTCGGACATCATTCGTAACACTGTCCTGTTACAAATGCCAAGACCTAATCATACAAGACCAGTTCAGATAACACTAGTAGTGATCCCAAGTATTTTAAAAAGTAAGAATCATCACAAAAGCATCCGAAAACGTTAAGTTAAAAAAAAACCAAACAAACATAAATGGCTGGGCAGAATCTCAGCAGGCTATGAAGCAATATAATTCCAATAATAAACACATGCAGCGACTTCATGAAATACCCAACATTCACATTTGTTGCCACGGTGTTCTGCTAAATAGCTCTAGGAGAAAAGTGGACCTTCTACTAACTGTAAGCTTTAGGAAAAGTGGATTTTAAAAACTCATTTCTATCAATATTCTTCTTTCAATTATGATATCCAAACAATTGCCACTTGTTGCGAACATCAGCAATTACTCACAGAATTTCAACAATGCTTCGGATTACATAGTTTGTCAATCTTTTCTTGCTAGAACTAAAGAAAGCGACGGAGAGAAAAGTAAAATCTTCGTTTATTCTCACCTAATGTACTCTTCTTTGTTTTCTTCTGTGACCAGGATGTTGCTACCATTTGGCTTCAAATCGTGGCTCTTGATTTCACCTAGAATTTCTTTATCAACTGAGAAAAACATTTCCAAGCCACATTCTTCAATATCATTCTCTCTGTAAGGAAAAAATGTCATTTTAAATAACTGTGTCAAGAGTTTGTACTCAGTAGACGGGTAGGAAGAACCTTAAGAAAAAAGGTTTGGAGCTAAATAATCACGATAAGGAAATGTTCCTTACACAGTAATTATGGTTTTGCAAGAAGTACTGACTCATTTACCAGTGTGTCTACATGAATTGTACTGCTGATCAGAAATTTTTGATCAGCAGTACCCTTAAATTTACCAATCACAAGGCTGACAAGCTGCCTGCTGCCTGTGACCTGTGGTATGTATATGGAACACAGAAACTTTTCAAGTAATGACTTCTGTGTGTTTCATTGTGTTATGCTCCTTCTAACAGGTACTGTGAAGACTGTGTTAAAGCTTAGCTGTCATTTTGTCAGGTAATAGCAGATAAGAAGCAGCTAAGACAGACTTTGAATGCTTAACGAATTATCTTCAATTCCAGTATATTTATGGGACTATCTTGTAAGCATACACTGAAATGTCCCAGGCTCCTCAGTTAAAGTACAAATACTGCTGAAGAGGAATTCTGTGAGAAATTTCAACATAGGAAGAATCTGTAACCAGCAAACATTGCTCAAATAAACTCTATTCTCTTTACAGTGTTAATAGCCAGGAGAACAGGTACAACACTAATTTGGTACATGCTTCTGTAAAGTGAAGAATCACCTGCATCTGCAGAGGTTTTGATAACCATTTTCCCCAAAAATAAAGTGTAAAATCAAGATACTTGTCCTGACACAGAAATGTCAAGTCTTGAAAACATTGCTGTGGTTTATCTAGCACCATGATGCAACAGTGCTTCTGAACTTGATCTTTCCAAAACACATGCTATTGCATGAAACCTCAGATGAGGAAGGAAGGCTTCAGAGAGTGGATGATGACATAAAATCACCTGTTCCTTTTAAGATGAAAGATGCCTGCTCGAGCTCAGTTTGAGCAAAGAGGTTTGACTAGATGACCTCTAGTGGTTCCCTTCCTAACTCAATGATTCTGTGAAAATTTCAAAATCGTGGGAACAAGAAAAATGGTCACCTGATAGGAGAAGCACCAAGAAATTCAAAACTACTGAAAGCTTCCTGGAAAGTTATAAAATCTGGTTTTTTTAGTCAGGAACAAAATTATGTCTGCCCTCCTGACAGACATGACTTTAAAACAAATCTGCAGTCATTTCCTTAGAGGATTTCATTAGCATTACAGATAAGCAGCTGCAACTATACTAAACCTGGAGTTTGGGTCTCTGTACTTAGAGGACTGAAGGTTCTTCTCCAGAATTTTCATATCCTTAAGTGTTTTTTCAAGGGGCAAAGCCTTTCATGGACTCTGGCCTAGAAGATTTCTTTATCACTACACAATTGCTACTGATATTTGGGTCATATTTACTCTAGAGATAGCCTTCAGAAAAGTTCTTGTGAGAGCCTTAAGCTTTCCTATTGCTTTCCTCTGTGGTTAAAAAACCCCCAACAAAACAAAACAAAACCCAAACCAAAAAACACCACACAAAAACCCCAAACCAAACAGTGCAGATTAATAAAAGCATATGTAGCCAGCACAGCTTAGTCATCTGAAACCCTCATGTAGAGTGAGAGGTAAGGGTTGTTCTTGACAGCGCGTTCTGAGTTTTCCAGTTCCTTACTACAGATGCAGCTTTCTCCTGTCCTTGACAAGGTCTTTCATTAGGGACTGCTGGTAACCAAGAATTCAGTCTTGGAAGTTTCACACCAACAATCCACTGGGTGGTATCTGGCCACACTGCATACTTTGAATTAAAACGAGGGGAAAAAGTAGCCATAGAGAAGCAGCCTAGTATTGACAGCCAGAAGCCTCTATGCCCTGTTAGACCGTCACAAATTACCTGTGCACCAAGAGAACCACAGACAATGAATGTAACACTCGAGCAGCACTGAAAGACCTTGTGATTATTTGGTGTTACAAAGAAATCCCACTGCTTTGAGACGCGGGAAGTGGCCACCTTACGTGCACCACAAACGCAAACTGTGTCTACAGTAACAGCTGAAAGCAACACCCTCTGCTCTAGACTTCCCACAAAATATTAACAGATTTATACTGTTCATAAGGTAAACGTTGTACGTGCCACTCCTCACAATTCAGTCAGAAGATGATTCACCAGTAATAGCCTCCCCCACGATTTCATGCAAATTTCTTCCCTGTAACTTGCGTTTTTCAGTATCATATTTCCTTTGTCTCTAAAACTCAGTAAGTCACAAGATGACAAAAAAAGTGCCCTTCTAAAAAAGTATACATACATTTTCTGACTACAAAACAGATAACATGGTTTCTTAATGACAGAAACCAGGACTCACAGCTTTGAGACCTTTTCTTCCCTTTTGGGTCACAGTTTCATGGCATCTTTACTCAAATAGCAACTATTTTCAGGATTCCTAACGGAATTTTAACTTGCTGTACCTTCTAGCAGCACATACACTGAGTACGGAATATACTACTCTTTGAAAACCAAATCAAAATTCATATCTCAATTGGTGAACATCTCATAAAGCCGCTTCCCCCCACCTCATTATTCAAGATAATGCTTCCAGGATTCACAATGATAGGAGATGACAATCTTGTCTTTTATATTTATTTCTGCATTTTAAAAACCAGTCTATCCCCACAACTTCTATGAATATATCAAAGCAATTTTAAAACTACTCTGGTTTTGTATGATTCTTAAGTACAATGTTTTATCTCTCTAGCCACATAAAAAAGATTAATTTCTCTGCTAAATTGTTTTTACTATAGCAGAAGCAAACAACTTTTAACTGAATTTCTCAATTTCTCTTTCTGTCATTCCTTTTTTTTTTTTTAAACTGTTGGGAAAGGAAAGTCGCCTGTGTGACCGAAACAAATGGTGCACATCAACCACGGACTGTAACACCCTGGAGTTCTGCTATTGTAAGTACAGAGTTACAAAGCTTTAGATCTAAGGCTTTTAAAAAATTATTTGTTAAAATATTTTTAACACAATTAAAAAATAATTATGGTCTACAAACTCCAGATCCTTTTTACTTGCTTCTCTCTGGAGAAGAACCTGCAAAGGAGTGGAGAAGGAGGACTCAAAAAGAGTATGAATGTAGAATAGACAGACGACTGACAATGCATACATGGAAGGCTATACGTAGGAATGGTCTTGAATCACTCAGCTTGGAGCAAAAAACCAAGGACATCTAGAAAAATGCACGAGCATTAACTTCTTTAAAGCATTCAATCTTCAACATCAACCTTTAAGTCAAATTTCAGGTACGACTAACAGAAGAATTTTGTGCTAGTAAATAATAAGCTACATTTGTTAACTTCACATTATTGTAGCACCAAACTTTTGATGGTTTCTAACTAAAGCAGGTACTAGAGAGAGAAAAACATTGAGTGGATTTTTGCTGATTTCTTTTTATCAGTTATCTGAAAAGTTTCAGTGGAATTTACTCAAGCCATTTTATTTGTAACAGTGTTACACTGCCACATATGTGTAAAGTCTAGCTAGATTTATAAAAAAACAGTAAAAATGGAATGCAAGATGCTGTGCAGAATATTCAATGGACCAGAAAGGCCTCCGCATTATCAACTTATTATTTGTGTATCTAAAATTAGAGTAAAAGTCCCAGCAGAGCTCTGCAATGGTTACATTACACTTTCTTCCAGTGGAGTTTTTAGTACTAAATTTACACCTACTTCCTAGCATAAACAAAAATCAAAACCATCATATTGCTATTTCAAGAACAAAATCAAGTCAAACTCACTTTACCCAGATGAGAGAGTTGTAAAACTCTGGGTCAACAGATTCTAAATCCTTGAGTCCTACTGGCTTGTTTAGGATACGTTTATAGAACGGCAGAGAGAAACCAGTGTCAATGAATTTCCCATGGAACAAAGCCTGAAGAACATGAAAACAGACAAAATAATGCAAAGGATGATTGAATACTTAACATGACAACATTCTGTACTCTGTACCAATGAAATCTGATAGCCAAAGAATTAAAACCACCTAAATACCATGACTTCTAACATGCTGAATTAACTTATACCAACAGTAGTTATACCCAAACACCTTATAATAGCTTCAACTCAAAAATTAGTTGTTTAATTATCCATCTGATGGTACAATATTTATTTATAGGAAAATTACATGAGAGAACCTCTTTCTACTTTTGAACCTACCATGGCAATGAATCTTCCAATAAATCGGAAGTATTTCAGGTGGTCTGGATTAATGTAAGAGGCTGGGTTTATCTGTAAGCAGTAGTTATCTTTCCCTGCATATTCAAACAGGCAATACATTGGGTTCAAAACTTCATGTGACAACAGAAAGAACCATTCCCTGAAATCACAAAACAATAAAAATACATTTCAAAATAAATCAAATTAGAAATTACTTTAGGTAAGTCATTTTGACTTGGGAACTCGTTAGCACACCAGTAGGCAATCTGACTTCCTTACCATAAAGAATGCTAGACCGAATTGAAACTAAATTGAAACTAACACAAATTACAAATCAATATGCAAAGTTACAATGGCATACAACTATCAGCAATTTGAATAAAAACCACCCTTATCTAAATGAGCAGATCAGAAGTCTATCACCGATTTAAACACTAGGGTTTTAGGGAATGCTAATTAATATATGCACTTCTCAGTTACACTCCAGTAAAGACTTTTGCCTTGAAAGTAGATTTCTACTCACTTTTTCTACAAACCTCCACTTTGATAGTAACGGTTGTGCCAAAGGCTTACTGTAGTTCAGTAAACTGTGCATCTCTAATCACTGAGATGATTAAAGTAATTCCTAATGTGAACTGAAAATAATTTTATACAGTTTTACGACATGCATGCATCTTAAGGAACTCTTCCTCAGATATTCCACGGAAAGATACGTAAGAAACTTTACTAACATTTTGAAAGCACTGCAGTTTAAGTATCTGCTCTTGCAGAAAAAGATATTATTTGTCATTTCAGTTTAGATTACCTTGCGACACCTCCATAATCTAAGCCTTCTTCACCAGGGAAAATAACCCATAAACGTCTCCGTAGATCCTGAGGGCTGAAGCTCATTATCTTAGTAAAAGAAAAACAATCAATTCTTTTTAAGAAAACAGCTAAAAGCACTGGCTAGACTTATCACTATTTGCTATCAAGCAATATAGCGTTTAATAATTCAGGCCATAAAATGAACTATGAGTATGTGAAGTACCCGCTTACGGAATGTTCATGGGATTTGAAGTGTTAGTGCAAACCTATTTCCACAGATTAAAAAGTAAAAGATGTAAGAGAAAGGGAAGCAATAATTCTGAAATTAAAGACTCTGGATACTTAGGCCAGCAGCCTGTCTGTAAGCATATGACAGAAATCCAGCCAATAAATAATGGGCCCAAAGTGAGTAAATTCAGTATTTGCTAAATACCGTACTGAATGGTATCTCCCAGTTACAAGTAATGAAAAGACATGATCAAGGACTCAAAGAAATAAGCTAGAAACAAAACAATAATAAACATACACGGTCTATTTTTCCATTTTACAGCTTCATCTCCTGAACAGCACAATAAAAATCCAGATGGTTTGTTTTTTAAAAGGTAGAAAGAAACATAGATGCTAAGGGACTTTCCTAATGCTGGTTTTAATACAATGCCCAAATTTGTGATTACGCTGATTTGGTCAGTTGTCAGAGGTTTACATAAAGAAATTTAATTTAACACTTGTGTGTGTCCAAGAGCCTTAAGTTTTTGCAATGCAAGGCATGAAATTTGGGTCAAGATTTGCATTTTAAAATCTCTCCTAGAGGTCTGTTCTAATCACCACAAAAAGTTTTATAACCCCAACAGAGATATTTGCAAACGCTGAATGACTAACAAGTACAAAAAATTAACTCAGGTCTTTGTGATTATGTCATCTTAACTCTTCCCTAAGAAACCCAGGTTTGATGCCATTTACATAACGTACCTCTTGATTCTTTCCAGTACAGTGTAATTTTGCTACCTCTATGGTTACTGGAACAAAGGGCAATTTTAGAAACAAGGCTGGAGCTCGCTCTCAGTTACAGGATTTACTTTGTCCCCTTCTAACCCCTTTTAGTTGAAGGCATCACTGTTCCAAAAGACAAGACTAGCCAACTGCACTGCTGCTTCTGCTAAGCCAGTTTACAATAATTTGAACAAGAAAGCACTAATCCTTATTTAAGAACATATTTGTCTCAAAACATGCTATTCTATTTGTTCAAATTTCCTGGCTTGACACATCTGTGACAGTTCCTACAAGAAAGGAAGGCTGAAGATATACAGAAAGAGAAAAAAAAAAATCAGCTAGGGACGAAGAAGGTAAGAGTTCCTGTCTTCTTAGATAAGGTCTGAATTTTCTTAAGTTACTTTTAAGTCAGAACAATACAGAAGTGGGCAAGAGAAGTATCTGCCAAGAGCAATTGTTCTCTGCACTTCCAAGCCTGTTTCTACGTATCTTATTAAACTGACAAAGAGCTGCTTTGGCTTCAATTTAACAAGCCATGGGAATGATTTATTGCCACAATGAACATTCAAAAAAGTAAACGTAAAATTCCAAAGCATTTGAAAATATTGTATAAGAACAAATTTTAACCATGGTTTAGGTCTACAGACATTAACAAGAGTTTTGCCACTAATAATCTCAACAGAATTGATAATTTTTGTTTGTACCATTTAATTACTCATTTAAAGACCCGTAACACCCACACTAAGATCAGTTTAATATTTGGCACAGCCCGTGCTTATATAACACACTGTGAGGAAAAATGTGCCAAACATAAGGCACAACATGAAAACGTCTGGAGAATGGGGAGCTGCTCTGCCACAGCGCTCCCCTCAAAATTAGCTCAGAGTTTAAAAAACTCTTAAGAAAAATAAAAAATTATTTAAAAAAAATCACCTTGTGTGTCAGATAAATCAGTCTTTAGAGGCAGGACTTCACATTTTAGCCGGTCTTTTAATACATAAGTATGAATGTATCCTAACTATTAAACGAGTATTTTTTGTTAGTCTACCTAAAATAACATTAGCAAGACGTCAAAGGACCAAGAACAACATGTGACAATAATCAACTCAGCTTTTCATGCCCACTACTATCATGTTTTAACACAATACCTGTTGAAATGAGTCCTCGAATAACGTTTTTCTGCTCACTGTAATCTTTATGTGTTGTGGCATTGCCAGTTGCTGAAATGAAATTTGTTACAGGTGAAGTGTACCATCACTTAAAGTTCCTGAGTTTGGACAGTTCTTTGTTGCATATATTGTTTTAAGAGGTACCGTTGAATTTCACTAACCCATATAAAACAATCCCAGTAATCAAGATACTCTAACTGTAATTTACACCAAGAACGCCAAGAACAAATTGCTGATACCCACAGCAAGGCACACAGGCCACCAGATCCTCCTTAGAACAGGTTCAAATACCCTACTCTTACAAGACACCGGAAAACATTAAGATTAATAACATATTCTAAGTCAGCAAGGCTTCTACCCCAGAATTTAATAAAAAAATTAGAAAATTTAGGTTATTCTGCACAAAATCCAAAGTGAAAAATTAGGCTAATCTCGCCGTTATTTTTCAAACGATAATTCATTGACACCTGAAAACTGGAACATTTAAACCTAAGACTTTTTCCTAAATACCAAGCTAGTTAATCTTTCAATATACATATAGTTTGGAGGACCAAGACTGACACGCTGGAATCTGAGTTTATGTTAGAGCGCACGAACGTGCAACACTGTATATTCCTCAGTTTTTACAAGTGCCATGTTCTGTGTCAAATGCCCTGCGTTTTCTTCCAGAACTATACATTGGCACAAAGTAGATCTTGTGTTAACTATAAAAAACACTGTGCCCCATATACTCTCCTAACCGCAGAAAGAGAGCACTATTCTGAAACCCACCACTTTAAAAAAAAAAAAAAAGGCAGCTAAATTGATGCTTTTCTTTATTCTAAAATGTTTTAAAGCCATAGCGCACCTAGCTTTAAAAGTTACATGACTTTATACAAGTCCTGTATTTACTCCCTCCTAATTTAACTCATCTTTAACCTTAAAGTAGTTTGATCACCTTGCAAGGTACTGAAGAATTCACTTAAAGCATGTAAGCGAAAACCAAAAATGCAAACAAATATTCCCCAAAAATTAATCCGTACCTGACACCAGAATCTGAAATAATGGACCTTTGCCTTGAAATCACGCACATAAGCTATCTGGGGTCCATTGTCTCTGGAACCAAAAGGAGAAAAAAAATTAATTTTGAAAGTGTTTTTATAACTTAAGTAAAAGCCTGCAAATGTATTAGTTATAGACTTGTATGGTTTAGTTTGCTATCTAGCTGGAAGATTCTTATTCACATTTTTTTGGTTTTGGGGTGTAATTTTCTTGTTTGTAAACTAAAAAAAAATATTCCTTTGTAAATTGTGGAGTGCATACACAGTACTTTTTAAACACTACCTGATTATTAACTGCAAAAAAGATTCTACCAATGAGGATGGGATGACATTCTGTTAATTTAAGTTGGGAGCTAAATTCTTGGTTTAACTCCATTCTGGTTCCCAAAAATCAAAGAAAGAGTTGAGTGCACTTTTATAAAGAAACACTAGTAACTGGAAGGAAGGGATCTGGTCATCAACAGCAGTTACGAAGTTCCTCCACTACCCTCAAATCTTACATACTACTTTGCAAGAAGGCTTCTGAAGCATTCAAAACACTGCCTTCTTCTGGGACAGGGATCAAACCCAGAAAACTAAGAAGCATTACTGCAGGTAAAATTTTCTGCATAAAAAACTTAGAGGGGGAAAAAAACTTTCCAAAATGATGCGTGCTAAACTTTACTTTTGAAAACTTAGTATAACGTTAAAAACACTTACAGAGCAGACTTGCCCGTGCGGGGATCTATATATGTAGTGGTTCTCCTATTGTGATCCACAAAATATGGAATACCATCCACAGTAAATCGCATTTCCCAGCCCTCTGGTAAGGGTTTCTCATTTAATTGACTATGGATACAAGAAAATATATGGTAACTGATCAACTTAATACATTAAGTCAATTGAACAATACCTGAGTCAGTAAAAATTTCAGCAGATCTAGAAAAACTATGGATTGAGAAATTTTCTGTTCAATATTTATTCTGCCTTTTTTTCCTCCTAAATTTTCATGCCCGCTCTCAATGAGACCAAAATGACTATTTAAATAATTATAGCTCACTGGGTTCCACTACCTGGAATAACAGCAAATAGAAACATAATGGAAAAACGTATGCAAGGTTTATCAATGCCTCCTCCACTTAAACAACAGAATTTTATCTTCTATTAGGTTTTTACTCAAAAACTGACATAATTTTAACAAGTAGCTTTTGATACCTCACGTATAATCACAGCAGCCAAAAAAAGACTTTCAGAATGACAAAAATAAAAGAAAATGCAAATATTGATCTTGTGTAATTTTTCAAAAACTTCCAACTCAATTTTGGTATAGACAAACATAGACCTCAGTATCTTGGGAAGACCTGAATAGCGCCACTCCAACGTGCTCTCTCACTGACTTCCCTCCACGGAATTACACCGTAGGGCCATGTTTCTAACTGGGAAGCCAGCACATCTGGGTTTTGGGTTGTATGAAGAGCAATAGTGTTCTCCACACAGCCAGCTGCTGCAGACGTGACTGGGATGTAGAAGTTGTCATCTCCAGCTCCACACATACTAGGCTATCCCCTGCCCCCTCCTCTATGGAGGAGAGATGAAGTTGCTTCACCAAATGGAAATGTTTGGCTCAAACAGGAGGAGGTGGGATTGAACACCCTTCACCCTCAATTTCCTGCCCACATTCCCCATCTCAAATAGGCAGGGTGATCACAGCCCAAAACACAGAGGCCTCCATTACTTTTAGTAGTGCCTCAAGTTCTCTGTCCTTTTTTTTTTTCCCCTCTTTTTTCTTTAAAAAGTGTGGGGAGGGGTGCTGCAGTTTTTCGAGTTTGTCTTCTTTTTGTCTCTTAGCTATGACTGCTTACAAAATGATCAGGTGTAGTACAGGATCCTCTGGACTATCCCATCACCGTATGAAAGAAATCCGTCCCTCCCCCAGCGATACAAATTTTTAGACGTGTGTCTTATTTATAAAAAAGAGTAGGAACTGTTCTGAGGAATGAACTTACTGCGGTTGAGCAAGACTTTCCTTAGTAGTAAAGTAAAACTGTGACAGCTTTTATTTTGGCTAGTACCTTTTACTATTTTAACAGGCTGTCTGTAGTTTGTGTAGGACAGTCCCTGTTTCAGCTGTGGACAGCATTTCCTAGCTCTCAGTCTCACTCACTTTGTTACACGTTCATTCCAGACTTACATGAAGCTGCAACTGATTTCTTACCCCTGACTCCTGGGATCTTCCCACTGCGTGATTCGTGTGTTGTGATTGACAAAATACACTCTGCCGTTGCTGTCTGTTCTCTTCTCTGAAAAGGGGCGAAAGGAAAAAAACTTCAATACCTGCTTAATATATCACTGAGACTACATCAAATAGAACAGTATTGCAGCTCTTTGTGCAATTTTTATTCAGTGTTGCAAGAGAAACACAGGACATGGAATACAAATGATAAAACCAGGCCAAAATCTGACTACCACAGGTAAAAAGCTTCACTTTACAAGAGAAGTCTGGAAGCAGACACTTGTCTATGAGTTACGCTGCCAGCAGAATTCAACACGATGTGGAAACTCAGTTTTGTTGTTTCCTGGACAACGCCAGCCTAAAGAACTTTCTTTGAAATGTTATATATGTAATGCAGCAAAGCACAAGTGTTGGGAACAACCATTTTATGGCATGAAATTGCATCAATACCAGAACTAAAAATCTGAATAGCTGTGTTTGCAAAACGGACGAGCCAAAAACCCAGATCTAACTCTGCCAGGTAATTACTTGCTTTAAAACTACACAATTTTGAGAACTTTGCCTATGTATCATGAAACTTGAATTCCTGTATCAGCTGGATAGTCACACCAAAAATTAGTTTTACACTTAATTTTTGTACACACCCCCCCCATTATATTAATTGTAAATTGTTAACCCTGTAAAGTACAAAACCAAATCTATTCCAGGGAGAGGGACAAGTAAGTAGTAGTTAGTTGTCATGATAAAAAACATTTTCAGACCAACAGAACTCTCCAAGAATTGGCTTGGAGAGGGAGTTTGGCAGTCTGATTTAGAGGGGATTTGGAGTCTGATCTGGCAGGAATGGGAATGTGGGAGGAATCCTACCTAATGAAAGTGGTAAAAGAAGGTTGACAGTGTGAAAGAAGCTATTATGAGAGTTACAGGGAGTACACTGGAATATTTTATAGTTTCTAATCTACCCTGAAACTGCAGATCTTGTCAGGACTCGGTTTTAACTGCACATTTCATTAGATTTAATTTTAACAGATTTTTAATCCAGACTTTCATTTTAAAAAGATAGCCCAGAACAGCTGACAAAATAATTTGGCAGAAGTGTGCTTTAATGTTTAATTACACTGCATTGCAAAACACTTTCAAGTCAGTCTTACCCCATCCATGTGGCAGAGGGCCAAGAGGATCAAACTCTTTGTTCTGTGTGGATGAAAAGTCCTGGTTCTGCAAGTCACACAAACAAATGGTGCATTAATGACCAGTCATTTGCTTTCCAGATGTTCTACCACAGCCATCAGGAATTACTGAAGTAAATGTATTTTTGTTCATGTCACATATAAGTGGAGATGCCAACAATTTTTCTCCACAGAGGCCTATTTTACAGGCCTTGGCATGCTTAATTAACCACACTGCCAAGAAAATAATTGTTCTTTGTTTAGTGCCTCTGCCCATGCAGAAGGGAAATTAGTACAGTAGCACCCAAACCAACCAGAAAGCAAACTACTTCATTCCTGCACTCAGTACAGTTCTCCCTGCCACCATTTACGAGGTCCATTTTATTCTCTACGCACACAGCAAATTTAGATCCTACACCATTCTGGGCAAACCAGCAGCATGAGCTGGAGTCAGCTGAAGTCTACTATTCACCAGAGGTAAACAATGGATTTAAAATTCTGGAAGGATTATTTTCAATTTCCCTGCTTTTGTTAACATTCGTTGTGCATATATCATCTCACCCAAAGGAGAAATGTATGTTCTGTGAGCTTGCTTCCTTCCAGGTCTGAGGCCAAGCCAATACAAGACACAGTACAAATAAACCAGCTTATTACTAAGCCATAGCTTGCTTTGAATCAATGGCTTTTATCAAGATTGTACATACATTTTATCAAAGAACAACACCTATATCCAGCTGACAAATAAAAACCATTACACTGCATGTGCTGCCTGCAGTCATTGCAAGGACATGAACTAAGGTTACCAACTATTACTTCCTGCCATGCTACACACACACAGATAGTAGATTATCATAAAGAATAAACCATAACAAAGTCTGGGATCTTCATGGGGAAAAGTCACCCATAAGCATGCCCAAAACCCAAACACATATATACTTTCAATATACAGAACAGAGACTAATGGGTTGAAAACCTGAAAAATTTTACTTACTTAACATTTATAGTAATCCTATTACATTCCTTACCCCATATATAAATCTCTGATTAAATTGCTGCATAGCTCCTTGAAGCTGACTGCGCTGAAGCTGCCACTGCTCGTAATTTCGGACAGACTCTAGTGTTGGTCTCTGCCACGTCGTTGTTCTAGTGAAGTGGTCAACATAATAAATCCTCCCCATGTTGTCGACTCGTCGCTCCCAGCTTTTAAAATAATTACAAACAACAGTTCTCAATAGCAGACAATTTTAAGGGCACGAAGCACTTTTAAGCAACCACGCAGTATGTTGGAAGTGGATATAAAGCATGGGCTTATCAGCAGACTTCTTTTTTCTCCTTTTAGCTCTTATGTAAGAGCTGAAATTGTTGGAGGAGATCACTTTCACTTTGTTGCACACTCTGCCAAGTCAGACTCATTCCATTTACTGTACTTACAGTTTTCAAGAGCTCCACAAACCACTGTCAGTACTATACTGTCATTACTGTATTTATCCTGCCCAACCCAGAAGACAATAGTTTGCTGGTTTCTCCTAAAAAGAGAGAATCCTGATAGTTTGGGCTATACAGTGCAAGATTTCCTCACACTCTAATCTGGCAGAAAAGGAAGGTGTAGGCATTGGGGTTTGGTTTGGCTTTTTTAGTTTGGTTTGCTTTTGGGTTGTTTGGGGGTTTTTTAATTACTTTCAGTTCCTATGAAACCAGTACTATTTACAAAAATTGAATGAAAACACTACCATTCTGAGTAAGTTTAAGTAACACACTAGTCAATCCTCCCAAAGAGTTAAAAATAGAGTACGACAGATGGGTTCCCTTTATGAGGCCGCCAGTTTTTGTTCTTTAATATTAAGTCGTTTTTACTATCCCATGTTTTTACTTTGTAGTTCTGTACCATGTGTAAACCACTCAAGTATGAATGCAGTGCAACACAATAATTCTTATGGGTTTTTTTTTTACATTTTTTTAAAAAATAAGAAACAGAAGAAATGTGAAAACTGTTTCCATGTAGAGACTAACATCACTGGCTGTTCTGCTGCAAACAGCTGGAGATGCCAAGTAACCAAAGCTGTTTTAGAAGGGCGTAGTAATGGAGCAGCAGAACCCCAAGACGAGATTAAAGGACTCAAACAGTAACCTCAGGATACAGAGGTAACCAACACATTCTTGCTCAAACAGATAGTTGCTTCAACCCAAAATACTTTTCCATGGTTTTGGTTCTCTTTTACAGTTGGAGGTGTCTACTGTCTTTAACTTAAATCTGTTTCTCAGTAAAGATGTACTTGCTTCATCTTTTGCCAGGAAAGTCAGATTCTGTTATTTTTGACATTGAACTCTCTTCCACACTATGTACCATGCATTTTCGCAGAACTCCTTGGAAACAATCTGGAGCAACTGTTTGCACTGGGTTCACATTTCTATTTACAAACATGTTTTCTAGCTTTAGTAAACTGTCAGTCAACTTCTGAAAACTCCAGACATATCCTAGACAATCATATGACTTATCCTGGCTCACCTTGGAGGAAGAGGCTCTGGCCGATCCCATGTTGTTCTTTTTTCAACATGATCTACATAGTACACTCGACCATGTTGGTCTACTCTTTGCTCCCAACTGCAAATAAAACAATATTTTTATCTTCTTCCAGATCAAACTACTCCAACCATTCATCTATAGTATAAAGATGAGAAATGTTTGTTTTCATAAAACGCTTCTTTCTAAATAAAAAGCTTGAAACTAACACTTGGTGCGTAAGACGCATCAAATTGCTGTACAATACACCACGGTAGGATGTTCATATTAACAGTAATTCTATGTCAACTGAAACACAAAAAAATTCTACATGACCACCTTCAGTTTCTGGGGAACTGAAGCTGAAATTCATGCCTACGCATACAATTTTAGCAAGCAATGAAGCAAAGTTTTGTATCCAATATCAAGTATATCAACAGCCTGTTGAACAGAATCATCTGTAGAGCATAATCCTCTTTTTGAGTAACATGAATTCAATTTAAATCCTCAAAATATGCAAATTTTACACAGATCCCATTCATCCTAAGGGCACTGGTCACATTTTCTGCATATGCAGCATTTGGGACACTGACTTAGCCCTTGTTACAGAAAATGTATCATCGTGTGGAAAAAAGCACGCTACTTGGCCACTTCTGTTGCCATCAAAACGGTAAAGTAAGAACCCATGTTTTCAAGACTACTTCGATATTTCCCAGTTATCCTGTGAGGTAATTCAGCCACCTACTACCTTTTGGTTCAACTGCCTGAAAGTTAAGGCAGATATTTCACCAATTACACCATTCACACTGGGAAGCTTTTGCTTTCCCTTACTCAGAGAGCTCAGAAATTTTTAAAGTTTAGAATCTAAGTGACATCTTCGAGGCAACAGACCAACCATTTGGCAAATCCCACACGTGCCTGAAACACAGCCATGTGCCCACACTACTCCCAGGAGCTGCAGGATGAAGTCCAAAACTTCAGGACACGCTGCAGGTAGGCACCGCAATAGCAGCTTTTCTTCTACTTATCCATACCAGTGTTTTACTACCTGACTTCATTCTAATTTGAAGACAGTACCCTGTTACACTATTTAGAACTTCTATGTTTCACTGATGCAGGAATGTTTGACAAGTATCAAAGATCTCTAAATACTAGTTCTTTTCTTGAATAGCCCATGCTCGAAGGCCTACCAGATAAAACAGTTATGAAAACTTCCAAATTAATATTGATGGGGATTTTTGTTATGCAGCAAAAGGCAGATGTTAAGAAAGTTTTGCTATACCTACTGTAAGTAAAATAAAGTAAAACCAGAAGTGTCAGCACAAATTAAAAAAAAAAAAATCATTAAACATACCCAGGTGGAAGAGGACCTTGACTGACTGTAGTAACTGCCTGAGGTGGAGGATTTACTGGCTGGACTTGTCTTGACACTGGAGGTGTGGTGAGTGCAGCCGTTGCAGGAGCTGTTGTTGCAGCTGTTGCCCCCTCAGGGCTCTGTTCTGAAGATGTATTTGCAGCTGTACCTGCCAGTGATCCTGCACTGGCCCCATCATTTTCTGTGGATGTGGATGAAGGACCATTTACACTTGCTATGAAGTCAGAGACATCAAAGACAGAAGAAAAAAAAAGTGTTTAACTGGTATTCATCACCGATCTATTTCAGGAGTTGTAAATCACAAAAGTAAACATGCAAGAACTGCTAAGTGCACCCATACAGCCACATTTTACAGCTCTCACAGAAACTGAAAAGCAATTTTGTCTCACTTTGTAAAAATGCTTTAATCCGAGAACTACCACCAATGGCACAATTGTATTTACCAAAGCCAGTTGTCTGCATTCTGTAAATACTAAACAATTATAAACAAAAAACTACTTTCTAGCATTGAGTTAATTATTTTCCATTTATTATTTGGAATAACAATTTAAGCGATAATAAGCATAAGATTTTCAAGAAGAGATCTCACATTGCATGGGACAAAATTATTGGAATGGGAGGGGAATACGTACATTCCTGCAAAGCTTTCATTTTTTTCTGAACGCCATTTGGTGGGTAGGAATTAAAAGTGCATGCAACTCAGGCCTTATCACTGAACTACACCGGCCTAATCTTTTAAAGTAATCACTGTATTGCAATTTCCCATCCAGACTCAGCATTTATCAATTGTAATAATGAAACTACTGAAACAGATTGCAGGGTATGGGGGTAAAGGAGTTACACAAATAACTAACTTTTCAGGACTACTTGTCCTAAAATTTTGCAGTTTTTATATAATCAGATAAAATTTTTAAAAAAAGAAAAATCTATCCATTTCAATGCAAAAGAGTAATGAATGTTTAAGTGCTGCTATTTCATAGAATTTAACCAGAATTGTAGAAACAAATCACTAGTATTTTGACACCCAGTATTATCAACTCGAGACAGTTCTGAAAGTCCTTCAGTAGATTTCAACTCAAGCCTCAAACTCACTGGATGTCTCAGTGCAGCAGGAGCATTCACTTGGGTTCTTTTGGTCCCAGCTCCACTATGTGTAGCACTATCACTGCAATCACTACTTAGCAGATGTGGAAGCAAGACATTTCTAATAATAGGAACAATAATTAAACAACGTGTACTGAATGCAAGCTAAAAAATAGTCCTTCGGAAGTAATCTGCCAAAGAATTTACCATGAAAAACTGTTGTTAAACATCAGCTTCATAACCAGCTATGTTCATTCAAATAGTGTGCAGCTTTGAAATGAATGCCTGGCCCTAGAATACAAACCAGCTACTGAAGTGGGTCTGCGGGGAGTGGGCGGAGGTGGTCTAGAAGGCCTGGGAGGTCTAGCAGGTTTGCAGTTCCCATTTGTGAGTAACGGAGAATCGCTGCCATTAACAGTCTTGTTTTCACTGGGAGCAGCATCTTCACAGGTTTCAAGGCCATTTGAGTTAGTCCTTTTGCAGGAAAAGACAGAAAGAGGAACCATTCTAAGAGCGTACAGATGACATTAAACTTTACGGAAGACACTAGAAGGCAAATCATGACTAAGTGAGATTCTTACATTCATAGTAATCATAAAAACCTATACACCTCTACAAACAGACTAAGAGTTTATCTCCCGAAGTACATGAAACCTGAACTGATGAAAAGGCTGTGAAACAGAGGTGTATAACACCTGTCACCAAACCCTCCTCTTTCATTTCTCAACTCGATACACCCGTGTTCAGGCCGAGGCTCTGGATTTTGCTGCTCAGCTATTTCTGCCCATGAATTCCGCTTGTCTCTAATGAGATGGGAAGCTGACTAAGACCAAGAGCAGCCTGTGTGCATTTGCTAGCAGATGCTCAGAACACACAGAACTCTTCAAACTTTTAGAAAACTTCATGAAGCATACATCAATTTTCCCCCTAAACTCAATTCTGGAAAGGGCTGGAGAGTTTAGGACTAAGCTTTACAGTTTTGACTAACAGCTATGAACACAAGCTTCTCAACTTCGCAAGAATTAAAAACTAAACAGCAATACTCAACCGTTCTGGACCGTTCAGTCAGACCTAGCAGTGTATTATTCTGATATTTTTGTAGCTCCTTAAGCAGAGTTCCAGGTATCTACATCTTTGCTTGTAAAGCACTTCATTTTCAGAATATGTTGAACAAAATAAAAAGACTGTCAACTAAAATTCTAGCGGATTGACAGGTCAAATCCATAGGCCATCAGTAATTAAACCAGAGGTTATGGTTTCAGTCCAGTACCTCTAAAATTACATTCCTCTAAATGTACACAAAATAAAAACCAGTAGCTAAGCCTAAGTAAATCACAAGCCATAGAGGATCAAGTAGAATCATGTACATTTGACCTCAATATCTTTGTTAAACACACTTCTGCTCTATACCAGGTGTGGTGCACATAATTCATACCATACCACGCCAACCCCAAAGCAAATGACCGTGAAAGCATGCACAAATCGTTAGTGATCTGAAGTTTGTAACAGCTACAGCCTAGGTTTTCCTCAGGCCCAGAAAGCATACTGCTGCTGTCTGAACATTAGAGTCAGAAGAGTAACTGTTTATCTTTAGTGTATTTACCAGTTGGCTTAAGGTATAACAAAGCATTATTATACATATAACAATAACCACTGCTAGACATATTCCAGATCATTTACGTGATCCTCAAACTGGACCTTTAATGAACATCAAAAACCCCACTGGTGGGTATAAAAACCAAATCAGCTGCTACTATTATTATTACTACTATACTATTACACACTCAGGCATTCTGAATACCCAAGCATGGAAATGTTCTTCTGAGCATGAAAAGGAAACATAACAATAATAAACTTTCATGGGAAGACTTTGGATGACATAGGCAAAAGAGTTATGATCAGTATAAAACAGTGAAATTTAACTTAGCACCTCCAGATGTCATCCAAGAGTGTTGTGCATTGTATAAGATCCTTAAAACGCTAGAAGTACTGGGAAGTAACTAAAGTGGCATGGTGCTCGTTGCAGGTTAATCCACCATCAAGTATGGTCACACTTTTATCCTACCAAGCAGCATGGTACATAATCCAATAGAGACCTTAGGACACTGCAACTGCTAGACAGCTTCTTGTATCTTCTTAACAAAGCTAAACAATTCTGATACCTCCATGCTATAAAGCAAAACAGTGTAAAAATAACCAGTGCCACTTACTCACCAGTGAAATTTTTTTTAATATATTTTACTTTGGTTAATCATGGGGAGAAGGATGAGTAACACAAACAGAAAAAAACTACAGATCAGTCAAGTATGGAAGCAAACTGCAGCTAGAAAATGGGGCTCATATCGAAAACAATTTAATATACGAATGTACAAAAGTACAGTATTTTTGTTTAGGACATGCTCAGGTCTGAACAGATACTGTTGCAGGGCATACGCAGAAATTTTTCAGTTGTCTTCTTTATAAAACATAATTACTACTTCCAAACTGCAAACACAAGTCTTACCGTGTATCATTCCTTACTTTGGAGCTGTCATTCTGTGTAGGACCTTAAATACCGGGAAGAAAAAGACAACAGAAGTATAAGCAACATTCTGAATAATTCCCAAGAAAAGCAGCCTTCAATGCTCACATTTCTTTCAAGTGTGGGGGTGATACACTATGTGCTGCTTATCTAGGTCTTATTTCAAAACTGAATACATTCTGCATGTCTCTATAGACACGTGTGTGTGTGTATATGGTTTTTTCAAACCACTGCTACTGTGAGTAATGTTGTCACCTCACAGAAGATACAATGGGATATCATTCAGCTGTATGAATATTCCCAAACACCCACAGTTCAATAACTTGTCTCCTGTCTTTGCAGCAGTATCAAGCAGTCTTCTCTATTCTTCAAGTGGAGCTGGCTTTTCATATTCTCTCCCTTTTCAATGATGACAGCAAAAGCAGGAAGGGCAACAACTTCTCTAAAATCCCCTCTCTGGTTGGCTAGAAAGCAGCTGCCAGGGCTTTGTTTTCTGGGGCTCTCTAGCCCGGACCCTTCCCTTCTCTGTAAATTATATAGCATAAAGGCATTCCAGCAGGTACAAAATACAGCAGCACTCCAGACACTAGCAGCTCAGCCTAGATTTGCAAACATTTTGCAACTGCTTATTCTGCCAACTTGGAAATATTTACCTTTTGTGCCAGCATTTGCAATACCTGAATATGCAGCACAGAACTGCTCACTCATGTAGACAGCACAAGTACTTTATCTCCATAGAATTAAACAAGTATCATTAACAAAGAAATCAGTTATCAATTCTGATGGGAACTGTGTACAGATCTAAGCTAGACAAGGATGTAGTCATGGAAAAGCTTATGGTAACGTGCTGTTAGTGGGCTGTGCATGGAAGTGATTTTAATCCCAGAAACAGAAATCTTAAAAAGCTATTCAATAAACAATGTATTTGCCTGTAAGTACCTTTAGCCTGTCCAGTAAGAATGTGTTAGACTACTTTAAGATTAAACTCCTTCCTCATGTGCTCCAGTCCCCCGATTTTCCGGGAACCCTCTGCTAAACTTCTGGCTTGGTATGTCCACATCTGACTTCGCTGTCAAGCCCCAAACCGTATACAGTACTCAAGCCCCTGCCTGCATGCCTTTTCCTACTTGCTACCACCTCTTCTCAGTAGGTGAATTTCAGGAAATGGAAGAGAGCACAGATGAAAACCAAGTATTTCATACGAAAAAAATTTGTTCCTTTCACTAGGTATTTCTAGCAACACACTCAGCCCTGCTCTACAAGCCCCACACAAACCCAGCATTTGGCTTTTATTTGCAAAAAAAATCCCACACTGTCAGTTCACGTGATTGATCCTTTTAACAAGTTGAAAAGAAAGATGGACTAAAAGCTTTGAGAAATAATGGTTACAAAGCTAGTGTGTTAATTCAGTTTTCCTATGATACTCAGGTGGAATCTCAAAGCAACTTCCTCTAGTCCTTTAAAAAAACAAAACCAAAACCAACTAAGACCCAGAAGCCTAAAAATTGCCAACTGACTGCCTAGCTAGTCTCTCCAATGCTGCCTTCTGGAGAAATAACCTTTTATCTATCTCTACTTTGCAATGTACAATACCCTCAAAAATGCTCCATTGCCTGTCCTGGAATTAAATGGAATTAACCCCCCTTACTTGTTATTTTAGTGTACACAGTTTACACATACACAGATTTTCAGCTCAAAGTCATACGGTATAGATATCTGAAAATGAAGACACCAAATAAACAGAATAGTGGATCCATCTCTGCAGCACACCACAGCGAACACAATCTATGAAAACCTTTATTTAAATAAGATATGTTAAGAGAATTTAATATAAACCCATGTCTCCTAGTGAGCAGAATACTTATTATTTTATGATAAGATCAAACTAACTTATTTTATATTCTTTTCACTTTATGATGTTACTAAACATTCAGGGAAGCTAGAGGCTCTCATTAAGTTTGGGACTGCTAGATATAAGTTAGCAAAGTCCAGAAAATAAAGACACTGATCTTGATCCAAAGATAAACCAAATATACTTAGAGGGCACGTCTGAATTGAAAGTTACTTACTTCTTGTACTTGAGGCATCACCATTGGTTAGGAGCTCAGGATCTACCTGCATCCCATCCAGACAGACAGACAAATCTCCTACCACTTCTGCTGGTTCTCTGTCACCAACAAGATGCAACGTCACCACTACCTGCTCAACTGAGGAAAGGACAGAAGAGCATGGGAGTTTTATCTTACTACACGACAAAACAGTGCATTTTATTCAAGAAGCTGATCACAGATGACAGCGATCAAGGGAAAAAGAAACCAAAACAAACCCCAGAACTACAGCTCTGTCTTTCCATATTTTTTTTATGTTTTGTGTGATAAAACTAATAATTTCTGGATGTCAGTAAAAAGTTATTATTTCTACATAAAGGGGAAAACTGGAGCATAAGCTCGTTGCTGCCTAAAGAAAGGATTATCGTTGCAGCAGAGACTGCATCTCACTTTTCTGCCTACATTTCAAAGCAATTAATACTCCTGTCCTCAAAAACCTAGAGTCAGGAAATGTAATTCACCTTACTCTTCATAGAGAGCAGACATCAATTCTATCTTCTGATTAAAATATTTCCCCATTTAGCTAATGATCAAGATTCACATCTAGAATGTGAAGATTTTGCATGATATCTGCAGACCAAAGGTATTGTCAGGGTAACTAACTGTTTTTCAGTGAAACAGAACTGTAAATAAACATTGTCAATTAAACGGTTTGAAACCAAATGCATGAATCACAGCAGGGTATCTGGTGTCACACAGAACAATGCAGTCACCAAGGTAATCTTCACTCAGATTCAGCA